TACTACCCTTTGGATGAGTGGAGCCTCGACGTATTGGTACACGTACATGCACAACAACATGTCGCGCGTTGATTTTGTCTTAGCAAGGCCAAGAGCATGGTAATGGTGTGCACCGACAGGGCCATGATTGAGAAGCAGTGTGGTTTTCGTGGTAAATATCGTTTTATCTATTTTTGGCACCGATTCAATGTAGATTCTAGTTTTATTATTTACCTCTTTCACCTAAAACGGACTAAAACTCATTGAGATATCATCGTCGACCTGGTGTATCTTCCCCACTGTCCCCTACTACGTAGTACAATACTTCGTAGTAGATATTTTTAGCAAAATGAAAAATGGTTCCAAGTACAGTTTCTACCCGGTAGTACTTAGTACTTTGTTACCTCTTTTTGTGCGATTTTTTACGCAACTCACTATACCAAAAGTAGAAAAAGAGGTCATTGACGTCTTTAATCATGAAAAAAAGAGGTAAATCAATTTTGATTGGCTCATGCTATTTCTGAAAACTCGAAATACTACTTGGAACTTCCCCTAACAGTAAAGTCAAATAAGTATTTACTTTGCAAGCTCCTGATACGACTGGCACTAATCACCTCAGGGTCGAATCGTTATGGAATAACAGCTCGTGCCGTACTTGTAGCTCCAGAAGGAACTCATTTATTTTGGATGGCCGAGTGTATAACCATTCCATAGGCAAGAAATGCAAGACAGCAAAATATCAAGTGGTAAATGTCATTCTTGCAGTTGCATTTCCCGTACATGTATGTAGATTCGACGCGCTAATTCTACAGCAGCTCATGGCTAAGCCGACTTGTTGTCATCACGCCAATGTTCGACGAGGTTATTGAAGATGCCGTTGGGGTTCTTGAGCAGTTGCGCGGGTGTGTCGAACTCGGCCGCCGATCCCTTGTCCATCACGAGGATGCGGTCGCTGTCCAAGATGGTGTTGATGCGATGCGCAATCGTGAGGCACGTGCAGTCCTTGAACGAGTCGCGGATGCTTTCTTGGATCAGGCGGTCCGTGTTGGCATCGATCGACGCCGTGGCTTCGTCCATC